AAAATTTTAATGAACTTTATCTAAAGTGTGGAACTTTGATTTATATGGTTTTCAACGTAGAATGAACTATATTTTTATAAATAGTTAATGCAAAAAATTGTTCATGAAAATAATTGTGAATATTTTTTAAAACAAGGTGTACACTTACATATGACGCAGACTGTATGTATTCACGCGCATGTATGCTCTAGCATTTTATTTACACCTAAATGTAGTATTTTGTCAACAACTGTCTGCAGGATTTCCTGGTGGCAATTATTTTCGCTTCGCAGCAACACCTTTTGCAATTCCCACAATTTTGGCACCCACTGGAGCAATCTCTTTCAGCATAGAATGTAGATAAATAATGGCTTTGGATTAGGTTCACATAAGTGCTAAAATTGTTGCGCTTTACAAATACATACACACGCATGTATGTATGTACCCAATAAACATTTTGGCGAACGTTCGAGAATGACCTTCGTTATCCAATATGAATATCAAACTGAGACCAAACTCATAACCAACATTAGATTTCCAGTGTTCATAGTATACTGGAAATTCACTCGAAAGGGCTTCAAAAAAAATTATAACCATAGTAAAATCCAGCTAATTCTCAAGCGGAAATATAAGACAAACGCTTTCCCTTATTAAAATTTTAATTCGATGCTGTTCTCGATTTCGAATTCATAACGAAGGGAAAATACATTGGATGACGAAGAATGGCCTAGTTCTCGAATCGAATACTAACGTATATCACATTCGTTATCTAAGGTGAGACTCGAAAACAAGATTAGTTTTCCAGTCATTTTCAATTTGTTAATCAAACCCAATGCTTATTGGGTAGCTTTACTCGTTGTTATTTAGTATTCATGTGCTGTAGAGTATATTTTATTAGTTATTACGATATATGTACATATGTATGTATATGTATGTAGGTATGTAGGACAACCAACAGTTAAACCCATTTTTTCGTCAGCTAATAAATTAAAATGTGTGATAAATGCCTCCGTTTTTTTGTAATTTTTTTCTGGGTTACATAAGTTTTTGCTTTGCCCGAATATAGGCCAATGTCAGAGAAGTGAATTGGGTGCTTCACGTCATTATACTTAAATAGTAGTATATAGACCGCAGAGAAATTGGCTGCTGAATTAAATTATCTCAATTGTGCTGTTGTGCTATACTTATACCTACGATGACCATATTTATGGGAGCCGAATACGGAACAAAAAATAATTCTGCAAATTTTTTCCACAACAGCTTACAGATCTCAAAACCTTCTCCAATGATCCTAGTTGTATTAGCCCTGAAACAGTATCCTTATAGTAACATTACAAATTTGTAGGATAATTTTCTCGAGATTTTCACCCCGTAAAATTTGTTTAAAAAAATCGTTAAATTTTAGTATAATAAAGTGTAATTTTAAGTCGCAAAGGAATTAATTTTTTTTTTATTCACGGTGTTACGCATTTTTTTCATACAAAGTAAATATGTTCGACCATTTTTATTTGAAAGGGAAGCAAATGAGCAGCACTTCTCACTTGCCACCAAATTTTTTTGTAAAGATTCTAATTAAAAAGTTTGAAATTTTCGGAGAAACATTTCAGAATTAGTTTTTGTAGTTTTTTGCGCAAAGTTGGAAATTTGGTATTATATGGTTTTTGTTAGGAAAAGAGCTTTACATTCATAAAATAAATAATAAACATTAAATAAACTAAGGAAAAATAGCCAAAGCTCACTGTATGTATTCCTCTATTCGAATCACAGGCATTTCGATTAGAAAATAATAACTGTTTATGGAGAAAATTACGATCATATACCAACATCACTTAAAACTCGTTAATAGGAATGGCATTTTAATGAGTTGTTAAGGCGTCGAAACACCAAATACGGGTCAAATACAGGATATTAAAAGAAATACCGAACATTTGGCGTCCCGTATAAAATAAATAAACTACCAGGACAATGTGTCAAAAAAGAGAACTGTCCCGTATAATACAGGACGGATGGTGACTGTACCTATACCCTTGTGCTCAACCATCGGCGTAGCTAGAATGAAATTTAGGGGGAGACTCGACACTATTAAGCTAACATGTCAGGTTACCATTTTTTATATATATGGGGTAAACTTGAACATTACGGTGGGAGGGCCGAGCACTCCTGCCCCTACCTGGCTACGCCCATGTGCTCAACTGATTAAGCCAGCAAGATTTTTTACCAATTTTGGCTATTTTTCTGTATACAAGTTTAGCTCATTACCCTAGTTTACATTACAAATTAAAAAAGTAAAAAAAAAATATTTTCTAGGCTAACTTTGGATCGCTGAGAACGAACATAATACCAATTTTTAAAGAAGCGTTTTTAGATTTTTTCGGAAAATGTGTTTTTTGGGTACATACTTTTCGCAATTATTCGTCAATATCTCTTGAAAAACGCATCTAATCGAAGCTGAAGGCAGAGAGCGATGAGCAAGATGAAAGATTCCATCAGGTTATCGCAGCATTTGAAAAACGATAGAAAGACTTTTGGAACGAAGGCATGATGGGTGATTAATGCTGGCTACAAATTCGAGAAGAATCTACCCCACACAAACGAAAAAAATAAAGGGGAAAGGCCTATTTTCGACCAAGAGTGTGATTGTGTGAAAAATACAAGGTTACAATTTTTACTCAGTGCTCTTAAACATTTACATTTCTTATCAAACAAAATTATAAAAAAAAAAAATTTATCAAAAATAACAATAACAAGTAAGAAAGTCTAAGTTCGGGCGGAGCCGAACATTAAATACCCGGCACAAGTATTAAAAATATGTTTTTTCACCTTTCCGAAACCTTCCGCTAGATGGTAAGCCGGGGTGTATCAATTTTGAGTAAATTAGCGTCCTTCAATTTCGAAATATTGAAGTTTCAAGCATTTCTGAAATTTACCGTTATATGAGAAGCGGCCGTTATTTTAGTCCGATTTCAATAATTTTCAACGTTTTGCTTATATGT